TGGTGTTGAAAACCTGCAAAATCAAGCGCCGGTCGGACACAGCTCTTGGTATTTTCACAACGTTAGTGGTTCAAACGCGTAACACACCTAATCTCTTTTGAACAATCCTTAATTTGTTCTCAAGTATTAGCAGAAAGGCTTTATTCTTCTTGCTTAACTAACGGTGGACTATGGTTCTGGGGAACTGCCATTATAATTTTAATCAAGTGAAAATCAAAAAATGAGCTGTATATAGGCTTGAGGTTTAAAAATTTACTCATAGATTTTTAAGGCAATGCAACAAGGGCTTTTTTACCAAACATTAGATCTCTCTCACATATAGTAAAATGACACAGAACAGAGTGGAATTCTTTTTCCATATTTGAAAAATATCCTTTACTGTCTTTAAGAAGCTCATCTGCTCTGACAGTGTCGTCTCTGTCACTCAAACTGTGGGTTATTGCCCAATAGTTCACTGTTTCTAATGCTGTTATATACTATCATGCAGGTTCTGTGAGAAATACCAAGTTAAATTGTCCTAAATGCCAAATTAAGGTTCCTAATGTTTATTATTTTTCAAATTAAAAAGTAACTCCTGCACAAGAGTTTCAGTAAGTAATGTTTAAGACTTTTACATACCCACGAGACATTGGCAGGTTAAGGCCATATTGGTTAGGATTCAACTGGAGGGTTGAATTCTTTCCTGGGCACCACAGGAAAGAGACAGACAAGCTGGAGAAAGTTCAGAGGGGAAGAACTAACATGATCAAAGGTTTGGAAAATCAGCCCAGCGAGAGAAGATTACGAAAAGCAGGCAGGCCTGCTCTGCCTAGAGAAGAGAGACCTGAAGGGGCCATGATAACTCACCAAAACACATAAAAGGAGGAAGGGACCGATTATCCTCATTAGTCAACAAGGACAGGAGCAGGAGGAAAGGGACTTAAGCTTCAGCAAAGGAAGATGAAAAAGATTAAATATTACAAAACCTCATGTCAAGGCTATGCTTAATGACCTTTCTGAGTTAGGGATGAAGAACCCAGTTCTGCTGTGATGGTAGCTGGACATGAGAAAATTGCCAGAGGAAATCTTGGCAACTCAATAATCCAAAGGAAAGAAATAACAGAGGAAATGTGGATACTATTTTACCACTAACATAATGTTCACCTCTTGAGCACTGTAAGGTATTGTCACCAAAACCATTCAAAACCACACAGATACACACAGACATGCACAGACACAAAAATCACAAAGCAAGGAAGCCACTTTAGTTATCCAGTCCTAAAGCAAAGAGGCTCATTCCTTCCTGGGATAGCAAATAAAAATAGATTTTACCTTCGAGTAAAATACTACCGGGGTCCTTTGCTCCTGGATTAATTATAACAAGGAGTTGGAAAACAGCGAGACTGAGGAGACCTTCAGCATGGCAAAGTCACACAAGATGCAATACGATAGTGAAAGAGTACAGTGAACCTCAGTCACCAGGATTGGTTCCTGAGTTTTGTTTTCACGGACTCTTGTTTACTCACTGTCCCTCACTAAATCCATTGAGACCTGAGATGGGGTGGGGCGGGGCCGGAGGGGGAGCTATCCAGCTGCAATGCTTGATCACATTCCTTGCTGCCTTAGGGTGGCCTCATGGTGAGCTCTGTTTCTCCATTCCTCCCCTCACTCGGCACTCGCTGATTGACAACTTGCTTTCTGACCTGGAATTGAGTGGGTGATATCACCTGCTTTCATTCAGTTCTCCAATCATCCAGTCAATGAAAGTCTGTTGAATGCCTTTCCTATCCTGAGCACTGAGACTAAACACTCCGGCCACTGTCAAGAGCAAGGTGCATTTTGTCCTGCTTTCCATGGAGTCTACAATTTGACATAAATATTGCATATAATATGTGATAGTTCTTGAGAGGGATGCTGTGAGGGCACATAGTAGGTCGACCTAAGTTAGTCTAGGGAATTCTGCGTCATAAAGTAAGTGGGATGTGCAATACTAGTAAAACATAGCGGGTAAATATGGGAGAGGCAGAGATACGGGACAAGTATCCCGGCACAGGGAACAGCATGTGAGAATTTGAAATTATGAGTTACTAAGAATTTAGATGTTTTGTGGTGCTATCTCACCAGGCTTTTCTGAAGATGTGTTTGGCAGTACGTACTTGTATTTATCTTCTTGCTACTTGCAAAAAATATGTAATAGCTTTTTGAAGGATACATCTACCCCCACAGGAAATAAACAGTAACTCACTTTACATTGCCTTTACAAATGCTATGTTCTTGTCTTTTTAGAAGACGTTTTATGATAGCACAGAGTCCCTGCCGTCTGAATGGTTATCCGTGCCCGGTCTGTTCATTTATGCTCCTCACTCACCACTCCCTTATTCTAGCAGCTTTAAAGTAAACAGTCAATGGCTTTGGGATTCTGGGATGACATGACCTTTTATGAGACTATTTCTCAGCTAATTAGCTTGTATAATGAATATTGGAAATACTCTGTTTCCCTTGCTAACTGGAGAGAAGGGTCTCTGGTATGCTTTTAAGCTCCAAAGAGACGTGGTAGTGATGAACATTAAGAGGAACTAGATCCCCCCTCCCCTTCCCCTGCACCAGAATATAATGCAAAGTCGAGTCAAGGGTAGGGAAAATTAGTTAAGAAATTCTTCTTCTTCTTCTTCTTCTTCTTCTTCTTCTTCTTCTTCTTCTTCTTCTTCTTCTTCTCCTTCTCCTCCTCCTCCTCCTCCTCCTCCTCCTCCTCCTCCTCCTCCTCCTCCTCCTTCTTCTTTGGTGGGGAGTGGGCGAGGGCATGTTTTCCTTATGTGCCAGATGTAGACGCAAATAAATTCTTGACTTGACAAGACTGTGGCATTGTGAACTGACAGAGCTGTGGTTGTCTGCATAAGACCTGTATCACATCAACCCCAATCAACACTATAGCACGGGTAGGGGAGGGCCTCATGAGCCCCACCCAACACTAGGCGTGATTGACAGGTGATGGCTGCTGACAGAGAGTCAGTTTTCTTTTCTACTTTTTATTTTATTTTATTTTGAGACAGGGTTTCTCTGTAGCTTTGGAGTCTGTCCTGGTAGTTGCTCTGTAGACCAGGTTGGTCTCAGACTCACAGAGATCAGCCTGCCTCTGCCTCCCAAGTGCTGGGACTAAAGGCATGTTCCACTTCAGCCCAACAAGAGTCGATTTTCTTTAAGGATGTGGCTCTCGGAATATTAACCGGACTCCAGTGGATGGCCTACAGTCACGAGTGTATGGGTAGCAGAGATTGGACTCAGTGGTTATGAAACAGTAACAACAAAGGACATGAAGTTGAGGGGGATGGGAGATGGACCTGCTGGTAGTGAGGCAAATGAATGGGGAGTGAATTTGACCAAAATGCATTGTATGCATGTGTTGAAATAACCAGGCTTGCTGAGGATAAAACAATTACATTTTATTTATTCTAAGGGGAAAACACACGAAACAGGAAATGAGAAATCCATGAAATTCTCAAAAATTAACAAAAATATTTTATTAAATATTATAAATATTTGGAGCCTGGAGAGAAGACTCAGTGCTTCTTGCTGCTCTTGCTGAGGATCTGAGTTCAGTTTCCAGCACCACATGGTGGCTGATGGCTACCCGTAACTCCAGGTCCAGAGGATTTGATAGCCTCTTCTGCTCTCTGTGGGAACACACATAGACATACATTCAGGCAAAATACCCATCTATAAAAATTAAAAATAAATAAATTGAAAAAACGGTAAATATTTGTGGTAATGAATATATCAAGTACCATGACTTGATCATTTCCCGACACAAATGTGTGCTGAAACATTAGGTGACATCCTGTAAATACATACAATTATTATGTGCCATTGAAAAAACAAAATCTAAAAAAATTAATTAAAAATTGAATTCTTCAGCAGATGTATTCACATAGTTGAGTCTTGAGTGGACGAAAACAAAGATTGGTTTGACAAACCCCTAAATAATGGCTCTTTAGGAATGAGCAGACTTTGTCAGATTTGACGATGAATTAATTTGATTTAATCTACAGCACTGAAAGGAAAAGTTGAATTGATCTTAAATTTAAAGAGAGTGATTTGAGAATCAGAAGCAGCAGGGACATGTAGAGTTTGTAAAGTGACTGTCACAGGGACGAATGCCCTTGGTCTTCCTTTCTTTGCAGTCATTACTTTGTCCAGATTGCTATTTTAGAAAGAAGAGCTTCCGATTGGCCCAGTTCCAATCATGCTCTCATCTCATTGGCTTAGACTCTACCGAGGGCATTGCTGGTGGGTGAGGCCTAGCTGTACAAAGGAGCTAACTGGATACGTAGAGGCAAAACTCGGATGTATGCTCCCCAGAGAGTTTTCTATTGCAAAGAGACAAAATGGCACTTAAGCAAATTCTTGAACTTGATGTTTTGATTAAGATTCATGAACACAATAATGTGACCTTCATGGCTTTTGTTTATCTACTACAGATTGATTCTTGAGTTCCATTAAGATCATCTAGAATAGTGAAGCAACCAAAGGAATACTTTCACCTCAGATGGCAGTATTTGTTATGGTTTGGATATAAGATGGTCCCTACAGGTTTGTGTGTTGAATGCTTGCTTTCGGCTGGTGTTCACTGGTGTGTGTGTGTGTGTGTGTGTGTGTGTGTGTGTGTGTGTGTGACTGTGAAGGTTGTACTTGGTACCCTGCCCCTTCTCCTCTGTTGCCTTCCTGTCCACGTGGAAATGAAGAAGCTGATTTGCCACACGCTGTCGTCATCATCACATTCTGTTCAAGTGCATGAACCAAGTGACTGCAAACTAAACCCTCTGAAGCTACCTGCTAACATAGATTCTTTGTTAAATGCTTTTGCTACATATTTGATTACAATAAGAGGAAAATAATATGCATGAAACAAGACTTACCTTGATAACCAGAAGAAAGGGGAAAATCTTTTTTTTTTTTTTTTTTTTTTTTTTTTTTTTTTTTTTTTTTACTCAAGCAGTCTTTAATGAAAACTGTATGAGACGCCTCTACTCCTGCATCTTCTCAATCGTTTCTTCCTTGTATTTGCCCTTCTCCTTTCCTACTTGTCGAGACTTGGCTTTCCTTTCCAGGATCTTCTTTCGGTCTTTGTCCAGCTTTAGCCTGGTGATCACCACCTTGCTGGGGTGGATGCCCACGTGGACAGTTGTGCCATTAGCCTTTTCCCGCTGCACCCGTTCAATGTAGATGACGTATTTCTTCCTGTACACTTGGACCACTTTGCCAATCTGCTGGCCTTTGTAGTGTCCCCGGACAACCTGAACTTCGTCATCCTTTCGAATGGGCATTGAGCGAACATTGTACTTCTGTCTCAGCTCTTTGGAAAGTGGGGAAGACATGATCTTCCTCCGAATGTGAGAAGGTGCATTGAAATGCCGTTTGCGGCCGGGCGATGGTGGCGCACGCCTTTAATCCCAGCACTCGGGAGGCAGAGGCAGGTGGATCTCTGTGAGTTCGAGACCAGCCTGGTCTACAGAGCTAGTTCCAGGACAGGCTCCAAAGCCACAGAGAAACCCTGTCTCGAAAAAAAAAAAATGCCGTTTGCGGTTCTTGCTCCGGTCAGAAGTCACAAAGGGATTGAACTTCATTTTGGCGGCAGCGATCCAGCGATGGCCGCAAGAGGCGGGAAAATCTTTTAAAATGATAAACATAATTATATTCAGCCAGGCAATGGTGGCGTATGCCTTTAATCCCAGCACTCGGGAGGCAGAGAGAGGCAGGCAGATCTCTGAGAATTCAAGGTCATCCTGGCTGCTCTTCCAGAGGTCCTGACTTCAATTCCCAGCAACCACATGGTGGCTCACAACCATCTGTAATGAGTCCTGGTGCCTTCCTTGCCAGCAGTCCATTGTATGCTTAATAAATAAATAAATTTTGATTTTAAAGAACTAGTTCCAGGACAGGCTCTAAAGCTGGAGAGAAATCCCTCACTGAAAAAAAAAAGTAACAAAATAATAATTTTATTCATTAAGATATTGAGTTGGGTGTAGGAAATATGCCCTCTCATGATTTGGAGGACTTATTGTTAGTAAGAGGGAAGCAGAAATTGGGGCTGATATACACTTGGGTGCAGTCTCCTTACAACAGCCTGCCATTTTAGGTTAGGCTCGTAACCATGGCATTGAAGAGAAATATGTAGATGAACTAGGTATTTCACAAGTCAGAGTTATATGATTCTACACTACAAGTAATGGCCAGGCGGTGGTGGCACACGCCTTTAATCCCAGCACTCAGGAGGCAGAGGCAGGTGGATCTTTGTGAGTTCGAGACCAGCCTGGTCTGCAAGAGCTAGAGAAACCCTGTCTCCAAAAACCAAAACAAACAAACAAACAAACAAACAAAAGAATACACTACAAGTAAATTTCGAGATCGGAATCTGAAATGCCTACAGTAAGGAGCATTGTTCATTTTAAAACTCCTTGTCCTTTGTTACCGCAAGAATCTTAATCTAAGTAACATTATTATCTCAATCTGCAAGCGGAAAAGGGAGATCTACACACATTTGTAATTCATCTGAGATGGAAACAAATCCTGTCATGTGTTGGTTTGTAACTTGTCTTCTAGGCTTCCAGGTACCAAGCCATCTTAAGAACCAGGGAGCATGTGTTTATCTATCAGCGTACCCTGCCTTATGATATTCATATTGGAATCATGACAGCTCTAATGTGTTTATCTATCAGCGTACCCTGCTCTATGATATTCGTATTGGAATCATGACAGCTCTAATGTGTTTTGAGCGAGGAAAAGGACAGCAATGACATCAGGACCTTTTCAAACCCTACTTGGAAATTCTGCTCCTTTGATAGATATTTTGCTCATTTTGACAGTAGTTAGGATGATGACAGATTTCATAAAAAGTGTTTGTTAGAGAATAAACCAATTGCAATTTCTTCTTAGCACATATTCTTTGCAAAGAAAGGTTTTACAATTGCAAAACGACAGATGGTAGAAACCTTGCCCACTCCACTCAAAACATGAGACTTCTTTGCGTTTGTTTAATTAAGCATTAATTTAATATTGTCATAATTAAGCACCGCTGTGACCACGGTTTCTGATGTTTTGTAGAGCTAAGCCCTTTGAAAAGGAAAACGTACTCATTTTATTTGCACAATTGGTGCCAAGTTTTTCCAACCAAGCCTCTAGAGCTGTAATAATTTCCAGGAGTGCTCAGGGAAGCATATGAGGAGAGGACTACCAAGTTTCAAGCTGGCATTTGGGCTCAGTTCTGGGCACTCCCAGCTCTCACTAGCACTCATTCATGCCTTTTCCCTTTTGCCTGGTTCCTTGTCACTGGGATGCACCTCAGGAGAATCATCTGTTGAACCTGTGATCCTTGTTGGGGAGGAAACAAGATGTTTTCTGATTCTGCTTGTGATAGTGTGCATTTGATTTCAGAAAATCATTAGTTTCTCTCTCTCTCTCTCTCTCTCTCTCTCTCTCTCTCTCTCTCTCCCCCCCCCCCCAATATTTTTTTCCTTAGCATTGGAAGGAGTAGCTGAAAAGAAAGGGGAAGAATATAACATGTTGGTCCATGTCAGAACCAACATAAGGAACTCAACTGATGCTTCACAGTGCTCCATCTCTCTGGGATCCAAAGGTAACTGGGAAAAGGATAACTAAGAAAACCAAGTTGTTGAGATGTAATCTTATATAGCATACCCATTTGTTTACACTTTCAGGGAATTTTTTAATTATTGAAAGCTTCAATATTCATCTTAATCAACTCATGATTTACATCAGTCTGAATCCTATAAACCTTAGGTATGCTTCTTAAAATGGATAATTCCTATTCTTGTTTTATAAAGGTTTTTGTTGTCGTTCTGTTTGATTCCAGATAGATTTATTCAGGTGAAAAGATAATAATGGCAGGTGTATCAAGGTAAATTTCGTTGGGGTATTCATTAGAAAAGTTTATAAACTACTGTGCATGATACAGATGTTTCCGGTACTGGTGCTCAACATGTCCATTCTTAACAGGGACCTCCGGATTTTGTATGCAAGAGGTTAGGTAACTGATAACCTATCCTTATAAACACCCAGTGCCACATATTAACGGCTACTTAGAATTTTGATGCCCAGTAAGGCCACAGAGATACACAGAACCATGTGCTTTCCTTCTGTTTTCCTGTATCACACAGGAATTTTACGGGATAGGGATGCTTGTTCTTCCCAGGCATCATTGATGCAAGGTCTTACTTGGTCACTTCCTATGACTGATTCAGGAGCATATATGTTATTTTATCTGTGAAGTTATGCGGTAAACATTCTTTCTGCTGACATTGCTATGCTGGTAGCATGTAAGCCCATGGCTTATGCTGTCAATTGTTGCTACCAATGCTAATTTATTATTTTTAAAATAAAAGATTTACTTTTATTTAATCTCCTTCAACCTTCTAGGTCCTGGTGATTAAATTGAGGTGCCTTTACCCACAAGCCACCTCTCTGGCCACCAAAGACCTTTTTTCAGGACAGAACTCCTGTTTTGCCTTTTGGGGATGACTACATAATTTTTTGTTTGTTTGATTTTTGTTTTTCAAAACAGAGTCTCTCTAGCCCTGGCTGCCCTGGAGCTCGTTCTGTAGACAAGGCTGACCTTGATCTCAGAGATCCACTTGCCTCTGCTTCCTGATTGCTGGGACTAAATGCATGATCCACAACTGCTCAGATTGTGGGACTGATTACATAATTTTTTAGAACTCACTGTAAGACAAAAATGTGGGACCCAACACCTAAAAGCATGAAGACAATGCTAAGAAAGGTGCAAAGGGTGCTACTGAATGTCACTCTAAGCAAAATTATAAGCATTAAATACTTGCTGTATTTTTCCTGCTCTTTTGAATATTGTGCTGTGTCATTTTTAAATGTCAACATTAAGAGTATACTGTAAGACATTTTCTGTCTCTAGTGGGCCAGAAGAAACAGACAGATACACATGTTCCTCAGAAAGAAGAAGGAATGCCTTTAGGAGGAATTCATGGAAGGAGGGTACTTGGGGGTAGGAGCTTAGCCTTACACTTGCACACCTAAGTATTAGGGCTTGTTGATTTCCTAGTTGTGTTCCTTGCACCAACCATAATGCTTACAACTCAGCTGGGGAGTGGTGTCCAGAGAAATGGGCATTGCCTCAACTCTTAGGAAAAGAGTGAGCCCATAGGCTCATTCACCTCGTGGCTGGAATGTGATCAGGATCTGGGTGAGGGGAGGGGAGAGGCTTGCCCGGCCTAGCCACAGCCAATGCCGTGACTGTACTACCGTGAGAGCCAATATTGTAAGATTTTCAGGAGAAAAATTGGAAAGCATTGTACTTTAAATACGCGGCTTTGTGTGAACTGTACTGGGTCCACTGCCTCAGTGTGTGAGGTGGTAATTGACTTAGTTTGACTTCCTGCTGTATATCAGGATATGCATGTCTTTCTACTCTTAGTACATTTATTTTTCTCTCAGTATTTATGGAGCTTGAAAGTCATGTAACTTGGGTTGAGGAGAAGCCTTGGTCAGTAGAAGATCTGAATCCCCTCCCTAGAGTTAAGATTACAAACCTGGGTGGGGTGGCACTGGGGATTTTGGGAAAGGCTGATCCCTAGGGCTTGCTGACCTGCCAGGTTAGTATACTCAGTGAACTCCAGGCATAGTAGAGACCCCATCTTCAAAATTAAGGCCAACGGTTGAGATGACTCAGCTAGTAAAGGCACCTGCTGACCAGCCGGACGACCTGCGTTCAATCCCATGGCCTACACGGTGAAGAGAAAGAACCAAGTTATCCTCTGATTTCCACATGCCCACTGAGGCAGGCACACGCACGCGCGCGCTCTCACACACACACACACCATAAATGAAATATTAAGATGATTTAAAAAAAAGGTGTATGGCTCCTGAGACATGACAAACAGAGGTTGCCCTCTGGACTTTATACATATGCGCACACGCATGCATACAAACCTTCACACACATGTGTACCAACACATACATGCTCAGACAATATTATATAACAAATTTCATACTTATTAAGAGACATTATCCAAATAAAACCAACTCTCCTCCAGGTAGACGTTTGGCATTGATGTGATGTGAATTTTACTTATATGTGGATTCTGTCTTCCCAGATGGTGTGTTGAACCACAAATATTTCCCATTATTTTATGTCAATTAACAATACTAACAAAAAAAACTATATTAGAAAAGAAAGGAGAAACATCAGTCATCAAGGGCGGAGGCACTGGCATTTCTTTTTAGAAAAAGATCCCCTCTTGGCCTCTAACAAGCGACTCGGATTGTCTATTATGATGGCAAGAACATAGCACAGGGTTTGACTGTCCCCTTTCCTAGACTCATGATGAAATATCATTGCTTTTATGATGGAATTGAGGAACGCAACATTTAGGAGGTGATATGGTCACAA